AAACCAAACACCCACGGTGGCAGAGTGGTTGACACGGGTGGATCATTTGCGTCTGAAACATTTTAATATGGAATAATTAAGACTATCAGGAAGAAGTTATTTTATTTAAAGCTCCTCATTTATTATCCTTTAGTAATGTATTCTTGTTTTTACATACAGGAGGTCACACAGAAGGGCCATGTCCCTATAATTTGCATTTGGTAAGACCGGTGTCCACTATGCCTGCTATTCCTCTGGCCAGGGCCGGCCTTAGGGGTGTGCGAGCCGTGCGGCCGCACAGGGCGCCATGGCAACCAGGGCGCCGTGCGGCCGTCACAGCTCGCCCTGAAAAAGTTTTATTTTTATCACACTTTTTAATATGTTTCTTTGCGGCTTAACAAAATAGGAGTCTTTAAATGGTGCATATATTGGGGGAAATGGGTGTGGTTACGGGGGCGTGGCCACTAAAGGGTGTGGCCACTGAGGGGCGCTGTAAAGCTTTCTCGCACAGGGCGCCTAAAGGCCTAAGGCCGGCCCTGCCTCTGGCCACCGGTCTTGTAACATCCCCTGCGCAATTCCTTTTTTAATGAGGGGCAACAAAATTGTATCGCTGCACGCTGTAGTGGGAGGGCCCAGGAGTCTCAGACTCCTGGTCCAGCCTGCTCACTAAAATTGCACTGTTTGATTGACAGTCTCCTGGTCTGTCCGACCTGCCATTGCCTCATACTTTGAATGATAGCCCAGAAAAGTGGCAAGGTTTAGATCGGCCATACTGTATATTGGACCCCAATTCTGTCCACACTCTTGTCCATTTACAACTATAATTACCATTGCTTGATTGGAGTTGTAGTTTCTCAAAATTTAACTCCACAGTGAGTGGAAGTGATGTTACTGCTTGCTCAATACCTCCCCCGTGTGCACGGCTGTGGCTGGACCTTCCCTATTTACGCTATGATGTCGCAGACATTAGCACGTTTGTAATGTATATATGCAACAGGAATTATGCTAAAAATTGACAATTATCCCAGAGTGCAGCTTTAAGATTTTGAATCTGCTTTTACAGTCTACTCAATCCGTTTATTGATTCTTCTCTGTGTGTTGATAAGACCAATAGTTCATTTATTATACAGCAGTAGGATAAATTACACAGAATCAGCTTAGCATACTACTAATGTATAAGTGATTAAAAAAGGAGAAAAAAGTAACTAATGGAATCTTTGAAGCTGAACTTCAGGGAGATAAATAACACCAGTTGATGTAAGTATGTGTCCATTGTAATAGATTGCAGCTTCCTACTCCATAAATACGACACATTCGTTTTTCTCAGCTGGTGATCCTGCCAAAGACACACTTCCTGTCTTAGGGTGGCAACATTATAGATACTATACTAGATCTATAATGTATCTACGGAGTTGTCAGTGTTGTCAGCCTAGGACAGGAAGTGTGTTAGGACTACAGAACACTCCCTCTCTCCTCATTTCCGCAATATAGGAGAGAGATGTTCTTTAGGTCGCTGAGGTCAACTGGGCAGGGTTGTTAACATTGATAACTTCTAACAGTGCAGCAGATGCAGAGTGCACAGGAAGTTACAAGCTTGCTGGATTTCTCAAAGGATTAACAGGTATTTCTATGCACTTGTTGAACATATATAAGAAAACACCTTTGATGGTGTATTTAAAAGACCAAAAGTGAGCAAATAAGAGATTGCATTGTAAGAGTTTAAATGCACTTTAGTGTGTTTCTAAAAGAAACAAGTGTAAGTACCTGAATTCGACTTTGTCTCAGCCTCTTGTTATCTCATGTACAACATATCTTAGACTAGGGGGAAAGCAGCCAAAGGAGTCAATCAGGTATGCTGCAGTGCTCATTTTCTAACAAGGTATATGCTGCAAGCAGGAGAGAGCAGATGAGCTCATCTGTCTGCTGCTTCTCGTACACTGTCCAATCACAGTCTGGAGGCAGAGACAAGACCTAGTTGTATTACCTAACTGAAGTAGAGGCATTGAAGTCCAGGCTGGCCTGCTGTGTGGCAGAACTGTGCAAATCTCAGGAAAGAATGGACAGAAATACAAATCTTTTGGCACGTAAAACAGCTCTCATATATGTATTTTATTCATGCATATAGCTGTTTGTTCTTTGCCTTCATAGATGTAGTCATACATGATTTAATTTGGTACCACTTACAATAAGAATATGACAACCCTGTGGTCCCCTATACATATGCTCATACATTTGTACCATGAATATAACTATTGTAACAGTACAGTAATGGCAAAGAAAAAGCTAGCTGGATTCACAAAACTATGACAGTTATGTACATTCTTATCTTAGAGTTGGAAGACGTTTCTTACACATGTGTTGTGGCACACAGTCTCCAAATGTCCCCAAAGCTTTGAAATTGTGGCAATTGCTTTAGAAACACTATTTTGGAATACCAATGTACTAGATGTACCGAGAATGCAAATCCAAAGCTTTGATTTACTGTTTTAATAAAGTTAGCTGTTCAGTAGATAAACTGTACATTTATTATATGGTTCCAGCTCTTCTATACTTATAGTATCTTTAGGAGGTTTAGGAAATAATACTGTATGTGAAAGTCCATATTGGTGGTGGTAGAAATGACTCACATGCATTGCCCCAAGGTGTCATGGATATCTAACCTCACATAGGCCAGTAAAACTGCCTTACTAGATAGGTAGGCAGTCTTCTCTATAACATACTTGGCCATACATTTCAGCTATGACTAGTCAGATTCCAGTGCATGGTAGCAGTGACTGTTATCAGTCATATGGTGCTCAGGTATTCTCTGCCCCTCAGCATCCATTATAAATCTTATCTGGACTTTATTTTACTTTTTCTTTTTTCTCCTCTTAGTTTACTAATCTTCTCCTGCATCATTTCCCCCTTACCTGGCTTCAACATTTTCTTTATATTATACAAAAACATTTACATTCTCTGATAGCAAGGTGCATATGATACCAGGCAATAGGTAAAAAAACCGGCACTCGCAAGGGGATCCGTCCATCCAGTACTTTATTTGTAAAAAGACATACAGTAACAGCAGCAAACAAACAAATGCTTGCATAAGGTATACAATAGTATACCTTTTTACAAATAAAGTACTGGATGAATGGATCCCCTTGCGAGTGCCGGTTTTATTACCTAGTGCTCAGTGAAGGCTCCGGCGGAAGCTTTACCAGGGACCAAGGTTCAAGCAGCAGGATTGGAGATAAGAGGGTAGAGCTGCTCAATGTTTCTAAACTGCATATGATACCAGGACAGGACAGGGTGCTGATATAAATTATTCAAACTGTATGCGTTTTTGTTCATTTATTTATTGCAGGCATTTATATAGTGCCAACAATTTACACAGCTCTTCATTTACTGCCCATTCATGTCAGTCTTTTTTGTTGTACATCTGTATTGATAGTGCGTAATTTGGATGTTATATGTTTGACTTTTGACTTATGTCTCATTGTAAAAAAAAAAAAAGTTGTCCTGAGATAAAGACTGTGGCTACCTTCCTTACCTCTCCTCATAATGCTAGTTGCCTGGCTGTCATGTGATGCCTGTACTTCTGGTGATGATGGGGAACAAAGGGTGTGGCCAGTAACTACACTGTTGCTTCTGACACCTATCTATATGAATCCCACCTTGCCCACACGTAAGAATGATGTTACTGGCTATGCTCACCTTGCACTAACAATATCGGGACCAATAAAGTTGCTGGTGCATGTCACAATAGGAATCCAATGCATCTAAGACAGCAGATTCATGATGTGCAATATAGATACAGACTTTAGTGTGGTAACTATTCAGATATCAACAGATCAGTTCAGTCAGTATATATGTGTCCATTTGTGTCTGTAGCATCCAAAGCATATAGCTAAGCTATGGCCCTATACTACAAATCCCCTCTAGCCCTGGAAGGAAACAACTGGCAGGTCATTCTGTGGCATGAGCTCCTCCAAGAGCTGGAGTGTTACAGGTCACCCACCAGAAGGAAGCTAATAGCAGTTAATATTTAAGATCCGATAAACCCTTCTGTCTGTATGTCCATGAAGGCTGCCTGTACCTGAGATTCTTGCACCTCTCACTTCACATATTTATTGTATATAGTACAACTCTTCTTTTGCTAGCACCAGACACGTGATTAACCTCCGATCTTTTAATCCAGCTTTTCCCCCAATGCATAAGGCTGGTAACACAAAGCACCATGCATCTGCCTGAAGAGCAATTTTATATTTCTCTATATGTGCACAATAGGTAGAAAGCGGAGATCATTCAAGCATAGATGGTCATATCTTTAAAACCTTGCATTCATGGATGAACTGCGGCTCTGCCCAGCAACTGAAGAGTGAACAGAAGGGATTTCCTTCCAAACCGTTTTATAGACACGGGAAATAAGACTTGTCTGTACATGCAACGTGAGTCTGGATTTAATGGAGAGCAGCCCCACTCCACCCCCAGCCGCGGATTACTAGCAGCACGTTCAGCACCACACAGGGAGGACAGCTCCTACTATCTTGTCATTGATCTGGATGCTGTGTCTAGTAGAGGAGCCGCCCTACAGCTTTCACTGATCGCACCCTGTGATCTCTGACCTCCGTGGGGACTTGGTCAAGGATTGCTTTCATTTAATAGGACGTCACAAAGCCGGATTGAAGTTCTCACTCTTTAACAGTTGTAGCTGATGACAACTCCTTTGGTGCGGCACATGTTTAGTTTATTGGTGGGGGGAGCGCAGTTGGCAGGCTCTCTGCTCTGCTTGTGCCATCCCTGCAAATCCTTAATCCTCGCTTCATCGTTTGTTGGATACATTGGGATATCTGGGTCCTGACTGCGGAAAGGGTTAACAGCAAAAAAAGAAGAAGCAGAGGATGTCAGTGCCATGAAGCCAGAAGATGGGATACGTTCTATTTCCGTTTCCACAGCTCTGTTGAAGGACCATATTTCTAGAAGGGTGCTTAGGAGGAACTGCTAACTTTTCTGGAGGGTGCTGGAGGACAGTCTGTTCCAAGATGCCGGTGAGGAGGGGGCATGTGGCCCCCCAGAACACTTATCTGGACACGATCATCCGGAAGTTTGAAGGACAAAGTAAGTAGTTTATTGATACTTCTTCTTGAAGCGCACACACAAAAAAGGCTTCCTATGGAAGTTCAGGGAAAGCACTCTGATAGATTGTCATCGTGGTCCAGAAATAGGAGGATGAGACTCCCCAACACGTCTGAAATCAACAAGTAATTAGTGGAAGTGAGATGTGCATAGTAAACACAACAGACAGACGCTGCTCTATGCAAACAAGGCAGCCAAAGGGAAACAAGAGAGGGACACAGACACAAGATGGGTATATGCGAGTCACATTTATCAAGTGTGTGATCAACACACATATGTCAGGGGATGGATTCAGCGAAACCACCCTTCCTGTAATGAATGCCCAGGAAGATTACATTGCACAGTGACTGTACCCTGGTGCTCATCAGGAGTCCTTAGCATGCATTTCATATCTAGGTAATCCTGCTTCTTGATCCTTGTAAGGCTACCGATGATGTCCTAAGAATATCAAGTGTAGCTAGTAAAATACCTTATCTACCGGGCTTTTGGCACAAACCGGGCCATACCAATAGCTGCGCTGGAGGAGGACACAATTACTTTATTCGGGGAGCTAGTTTTATATAGATATCTTGTCCTAAGCATGCTGTCTACATGAAGAGTTAAGTTCAAATAGCAGAATCCTATGATTAGAGTCAAAGAGAGGAATTTATCAATACTGGAGCAGACAGGGTCTGGAGCAGTTGGCAATGGCAACCAATTAGCTTTTCACTTTAATTTTCCAAGCATAACTGAACCAACTGAAGAGAGAAGCTGATTGGTTGCCATAGGCAACTGCTCCAGATTTGTCTGCTCCAGTTTTGATAAATTCCCCACATAGTGCCTGCCCCTGAAATCGTATATACTGACTTGGAACTTGCTGTTTAATTCAGGACATGCAAATGCCCAACACAGGTTGTTCGCCAATACAAAACAGCTTGTGGTCATTCTTTCCCCCTCGCCAAAATCAATACCAAACCCTTAGGCTCCATTCACACATAGTGGTAGCGTTTGTGGCGCGTAAAACCACGCGGCACGAAAACATGCAAACTGCGTGGAATCCGCCCAGAAAATCGTGATTGGGCTTTTTTGCGGGACACGCGTCTTCGTACCGCGTGGATGTCACCCTAGTGTGAACAACACACATTGGAAAGCTAGTGTGTGAAGGGAGCCTTACCCTAGACGGGTGGATTTCAAGGGGGAATCCCAGGCAAAAAAAAAAAGATAACATGGAGTTTTCCTCTTCACATTAGAGCCCCCCTCTTTCAGATCAGTAGTCCCTCCCCTTCACATTAGAACCCCCCCTTCAGATTAGAGCCCCTCCCCCTTTACATCAAAGTCCACTGCTTTCACATCAGAAGCTCCCCATCACATTAGAGTCCTCCTTCACCTTAGAGTCCATTCCTTTCACATCAGAAGCCTCCTTGCACACGAGGAAAGCAGTTTTTAGCATACATTTAAAGGCACCCCTAACAAAACCAGAAGACATCCCAGGGTGCCACATCACCGTGGTTGAGAAAGGCTGGTTTGATCAATTTTGTCAATTCTAGTTTAAAGAGCATCGATCAGCTTCACCAAGCATTTGTCAAGCTTTTAGGCTTCATGCAGCTTTCTAGAAGCCTTTAAAGCAATCTTCCAGCCCAGTCCTGGAGATCCTAGTGGGAGTGCTGGGTGTAGCCTCAAGCAGTGCTGACCACCTACTTATTAACTCTAAAATGACCGTGGCTGGGAGGCAACACTAAAAAAAAAAACCCCAGCGATAATAACTATTCTTTTAAACCCCATGTTAAAAAAAAAAAAATAGGTGAGTCTGTTATTTAACCCACATATGTCCACCAAAAAACATACATTTTAGGTAGAGTAAGTTTTCTGTACCCCTTGATTTTGTACTTCTCAATTTTCTCTATATGCAATGTGTCTTTTTAATATGATGGGGGCAGTGCTGTTTGGAGAACAGAAAGGAAGAGAAAGAGAAAACAATTGTCATCAAATATTCCTGTGGCGGGTGTGCAGGACATAAATTGTATACATGTCTATGTGGTTGCATCTCCCAGTCTTGAATTTACTGCCACTCTTTTATTCTTACATGTTGTAAGATTAAAGATTCACTCAATTATCACGTTTTAGCGCTGCACATTTAGCACTTTACTCTTTTATTCTGCCCTGCTCAGTGCTTCGTTCTGAGGGATGTTCGAAACTCATCATTGTACTGATATATCTTATGTGCTTGTCATAGGAAATTGATGGAGTTGCCTGTTTATCCAGAAACAGGATCTTCATTCTGTTTTAATGTTACATATTCAAAGTATTACACCGTGGAAGACTATAGAGCTCATTTTACTTGCTGTTGTTTGACTGGATAATCTGTTACCTGTGGATGTATGCAACATTCATCCAAATGTGATCCCTGAAATCAGTTCTGGTAGCTGCGTCACCCACTGGCGTTATATGTCTGTGAAGGTTCTCATTCATCCAGGTCATAGTATATCTGTAAAGAATAAGTCAAGGCAACTGGACTTGCTGTATTTTTCTTGAAGACGTTTCACTGGTCATCCAACCAGCTTCCTCAATTCAGAATGGAACTCTTGGGAACTTAAGACACAGTATCCACCATAGTTCTTGACTCTGCTCCAACCCCACTCCTTCTGCTGGATCACAATATTACCTGTTGTTCCACTTTACTTGTTGCATTGTCCATAATATAACAGAAGAGAGGGATGCCCCTTTGTAATTTTCATGCTAGGTGCTGTCCTGGGAACTCAATTGCATAGATATAACAGAGATGATAACTAATAGGTTATTTTACACCTTGGCGTCTTCCAGAAAACTAAATATCAGTTTTAGGTAGACTGAGGCTAGATTCACACCTAGGCGATTTATCACGCATAATAAATTGCGCGATGTCGCGCAAAACACAGATTTTCATCGAAGTCAATGGAGGCTGTTCACACCTTTGCGGTTTGTCACGCGAACAAAATCACCTGTCACGCAAAAAGTAGCAGGAGCTATTTTCGGGCGGTTTGGGTTCTATAGGCATCTCTATGCACTGAAAACTGCGTGACAACCACGCGGTTTTCAGAAAACAGTTACACAAATGAAAACACGCAACAACCGCACAAAAACAGCTCACCATCTCAATCGCCTAGGTGTGAACCTAGCCCCAACCTTTTCATGCATGGTTACAGATTTTTTTAGAATGTCTTTTTTTTTTTAAAGGTCCAGGCCTACATCAAACACTGTAAATCTGCCCTTCACTGTACAACTTGGAATATTTACTTTTTCATTCTCACAGTTGTAGGTACGACTCATGTTTATCTTACACATTCAAATGTTTTATTGCAGTTGGGAAGTTTTTAGTATTGAGCCCTCCCTCACGCCTCTAGGTAATTGAGTATCGTTTGCTTGCTTACAGTACAAAGCCCCAGTTGATGCCAGGTCTCCTACAATGGTTGGATTTCTATCTACATAGGCTGATGTCACTAGATTTATAAAAAAACCTATAGATAGTTACATAGTTAGTCAGGTTGAAACATAACACAAGTCCATCAACTTCAACCTATAGAGATGAGAAGAAAAAAAGAGAAAGAAGAAAAATCTAATACAGAACGCTATGACCACAGTTGATTCAGAGGAAGGAAAAAAAACCAAAAAACTAAGCATTAAAAAAAACCCTATTAAGCATAATAGTAGCTTGCAAATTATTTTCAAGTATTGTAAAGGAGTTTTGAGGGCCCCTTTACACGCATGTGTGCATGAATGCTTTGAGGTACCCTGCATTAAGGCAACCCATTAATTTTGGGATGGTAGTATACCTTAAAGTAGTATTAAACTCTCAAACTTTTGTTAATAAGGAATCCAGATCAAGCAAATATACATTGTCCAGCCCAAGCATTTCTTTAATTTTTTGCCCAAACACCTACAGTCATTATGTTTCCAAACAGCTCCAACTCACTCAGCTCAGCTTCCCCGAACTTCTTGTCCAGTCTCACGTTTAGTTTACTAATTTATATTGAGATTGTAGTCCATCACGGGAGCGAGCTTGGCATGGCGGCTACTTTACAACACACAGAGGGACCATGGGGAACAAAAGTAGCCACCCACCAGAAGGAAGGACAGTGTCAGCACCAATTCAGAGACTATTTGAGGATCTACAGCCGAGCGATACACAAATAAAATACATTTTTGTTAATAGTTAAGGTACTTGAGTGCATTTTTTAGATTTAACTCCTGAGTTTAGTGTCACTTTAAGTATTTAGATACCACCGATATGAACACAGAAAAGCGCCAAAAAGGACTACTCCGCCAGTATGGACCAATAATTTTACAATTAATACAATTAATACATTTTTAAAAGCAGTCAAAATTAAACCTGAACTCCAAGCAAACAGCTAAATACACAGATGAAATGCATATAAGAGTGCTGCTACGCCTGGAAAAGGATTTGTATTTCTGCTCATCCCATCCTGAGATTTACACAGCTCTGACACACAGCACAGTCCTGTCTAGCAGGACAGGAGACCCCATTTTTCTCTGCTGCAGTTCAGTATCACTAACAGGTCTAGTCCTTCCCCCAGCCTGTGACTGGACAGGGAAAGAAGAAGCAGCAGACTAACTATTTCATCGCTTTGTCATTCTGCTGTTTACTCCTATTAGGATATTCTCTGTTAAGACATAAGCAATGCTACTTCTCCTGCGTCTCCCTCTCCCAGCCTGGGTTCTACTGTACAGGGATGGCGAGAGTCTGATATAAGGCCAAATTTACACTTTAATTACTTGCATTTTAAAAAAAGGACATACTGCACCGCATCTCACTGGAGGTCACCACACCGCAGCGCAATGTAAAGCAATGCCGTGCGGACAAATGAATGGACTGTACAATTTGTACACTCCAAATACAGTTAAGAAAAAAAGTAAACCGTGGCTCACCGCTGCCACCCAGCGGACACTAGCCACAGGGTAAAACGCTGCATTTCACCGTGCAGTGAGTATGAACAAGCCCCAAATTC